TACAGACACTGACATCTATGATGGTGAAGTCCACTGGTACATACAGACACTGACATCTCTGATGGTGAAGTGTACTGGGAACATACATACAGACACTGACATCTGATGGTGAAGTCTCTGATGGTGAAGTCCATGGTGAAGGGGACAAACAGACACTGACATCTATGATGGTGAAGTCTACTATGACATACAGACACTGACATCTCTGATGGTGAAGTCTACTGGGACATACAGACACTGACATCTCTGATGGTGAAGTCTACTGGGACATACAGACACTGACATCTCTGATGGTGAAGTCCACTGGGACATACAGACACTGACATCTCTGATGGTGAAGTCCACTGGGACATACAGACACTGACATCTATGATGGTGAAGTGTACTGGGACATACAGACACTGACATCTATGATGGTGAAGTCTACGGGGACAAACAGACACTGACATCTATGATGGTGACTGCGTCTACTATGACATACAGACACTGACATCTCTGATGGTGAAGTCCACTGTGACATACAGACACTGACCTCTATGATGATGAAGTCTACTGGGACATACAGCCCATCTCTGATGGGACATACAGACACTGACCTCTATGATGGTGAAGTCTACTGGGACAAACAGACACTGACATCTATGATGGTGAAGTCTACTGGGACATACAGACACTGACATCTATGATGGTGAAGTCCACTGGGACATACAGACACTGACATCTATGATGGTGAAGTCCACTGGGACATACAGACACTGACATCTCTGATGGTGAAGTCTACTGGGACATACAGACACTGACATCTATGATGGTGAAGTCCACTGGGACATACAGACACTGACATCTCTGATGGTGAAGTCCACTGTGACATACAGACACTGACATCTATGATGGTGAAGTCCACTGGGACATACAGACACTGACATCTATGATGGTGAAGTCTACTGGGACATACAGACACTGACATCTCTGATGTTGAAGTCCACTGGGACATACAGACACTGACATCTATGATGGTTAAGTCCACTGGGACATACAGACACTGACATCTATGATGGTGAAGTCTACTGGGACATACAGACACTGACATCTATGATGGTGAAGTCTACTGGGACATACAGACACTGACATCTATGATGGTGAAGTCTACTGGGACATACAGACACTGACATCTATGATGGTGAAGTCTACTGGGACATACAGACACCGACATCTCTGATGGTGAAGTCCACTGGGACATACAGACACTGACATCTATGATCTATGATGGTGAAGTCTACTGGGACATACAGACACTGACATCTATGATGGTGAAGTCCACTGGGACATACAGACACTGACATCTATGATGGTGAAGTCTACTGGGACATACAGACACCGACATCTCTGATGGTGAAGTCCACTGGGACATACAGACACTGACATCTATGATGGTGAAGTCTACTGGGACATACAGAGGATGACATCTCTGATGGTGAAGTCTACTGGCACATACAGACACTACATTACAACAGGATACAACAATACAGGAGGCTGTGATACCATACAATTAAATTACTATGGATCTCCACTCACCTGATAACTTATCTTTCAACCAAACATGTTACATTTATTTTCTTAAATATAAAGTTATTATTTTTTGTTATTATTGCTGATTTAAGCATGTTAAGGCAGTGCATGAACGTACATGTAATAGCTATTGAGGGCTTAGTTAATTTTTCAAAATATGTAACAGTACAAGACAAGTCAATGGGAAAATATTTCTTTTGTTTTACCTGTAGTGAGTGAGTGAGTGAGTGAGTATGGTTTTACGCCGCTTTTAGCAATATTCCAGCAACATCACGGCGGGGGACACCAGATATGGGCTTCACACATTGTACCCATGTGGGGATTCGAAACCGGGTCTTCGGCATGACGAGACAACGCTGTAACCACTAGGCTACCCTACCGCCCTTTACCTGAGTGAACAAACAAGGATCAAGGGAGGTAACCATGCTAAGTGTCAGAATTGTTTGGGTCAGCTGACCTGGAATAGGTCAACATGTTATTGCCATGTATAGTCAAACCCCATCCCCACTTGTAACGGTGATGGGTCACACAACCTTTTTTGTAGACTTCTAATAGGGGTGTATGTAAATCTATTAAGGAAATAAACCCATCAGACAAAACTGAAACAGGTTATGTGAATGTTATCTCACCTTCATTCACAATGGTGAGACCTGATTGGATAACTTGATTTTGATAAACTACCACGTATCCCCTCTGGGAGGGAAATAAATATTTCAGATAGATAATATTATAATATTAATCACAAAGAAAACAGGCTGTACATGGATTTTTAACAGGAACAAAAGCACTTGTACTTGTAGTTAGGGATGCTGGATGAAAAAAACTATATGTATCCTTTATAATTAAAGTACAACTTAGTGTGTCACTCATACAAAAATAGGCTTGAGTTATGCATCACACATCACAGGAAAGTACTGTTATGCAGGTGAGTGAGTGAGTGAGTTTAGTTTTAAGCCGCACTCAGCAATATTCCAGCTATATGGCGGCGGTCTATAAATAATCAAGTCTGGACCAGACAATCCAGTGATCAACAGCATGAGCATCGATCTGTGCAACTGGGAACCGATAACATGTGTCAACCAAGTCAGCGAGCCTGACCACCCGATCCCGTTCGTCACCTCTTACGACAAGCATAGTCGCCTTTTGTGGCAAGCATGGGTTGCTGAAGACCTATTCTACCCTGGATCTTCACGGGCGGTTATACAGGTGAAGTCATCATGACCGTAACTATCATCATCACAATCAACTGGATTCTAGGCTTAACAATTCAGTTATATTCACTTAATAGAAACTAAAACTTTGTTTGAATATTGACAGCTTGAATACTTACATTACTTTCAAACTCTCTCTGTGGTGTATAGGTAAAGTATCCATGCCAGCCTCTCACAGACAATACACAAGTGTTCTGTGGTGTAAAGAGACAATCATCCATGCCAGCCTCCAATAGACAAAAGACAGGTGCTCTGTGGTGTATAGGGACGAGCATCCATGCCAGCCTCTCACAGACAATACACAAGTGTTCTGTGGTATAAAGAGACAATCATCCATGCCAGCCTCCAACAGACAAAAGACAGGTGCTTTGTGGTGTATAGGGACAAACATCCATGCCAGCCACTCACAGACAATAGACAGGTGTTCAGTGGTGTATAGAGACAAGCATCCATGCCAGTCTCTCACAGACAATAGACAGGTGTTCAGTGGTGTATAGAGACAAACATCCATGCCAGCCACTCACAGACAATAGACAGGTGTTCAGTGGTGTATAGAGACAAGCATCCATGCCAGCCAAGCAATAGACAGGTGTTCAGTGGTGTATCAAGCATCCATGCCAGACAATAGACAGGTGTTCAGTGGTGTATAGAGACAAACATCCATGCCAGCCACTCACAGACAATAGACAGGTGTTCAGTGGTGTATAGAGACAAGCATCCATGCCAGCCAATCACAGACAATAGGCAGGTGTTCTGATGTGTATAGAGACAAGCATCCATGCCAGCCTCTCACGGACAATACACAGGTGTTCTGTGGTGTATAGGGACAAGCATCCATGCCAGCCACTCACAGACAATACACAGGTGTTCTGTGGTATATAGAGACAAGCATCCATGCCAGCCAATCACAGACAATAGACAGGTGTTCTGTGGTGTATAGGAACAAGCATCCATGCCAGCCAATCACAGACAATAGGCAGGTGTTCTGTGGTGTATAGGGACGAGCATCCATGCCAGCCAATCACAGACAATAGGCAGGTGTTCTGTGGTGTATAGGGACGAGCATCCATGCCAGCCAATCACAGACAATACACAGGTGTTCTGTGGTATATAGAGACAAGCATCCATGCCAGCCAATCACAGACAATAGACAGGTGTTCTGTGGTGTATAGGGACGAGCATCCATGCCAGCCAATCACAGACAATAGGCAGGTGTTCTGTGGTGTATAGGGACGAGCATCCATGCCAGCCAATCACAGACAATACACAGGTGTTCTGTGGTGTATAGAGACAAGCATCCATGCCAGCCTCTCACGGACAATACACAGGTGTTCTGTGGTATATAGAGACAAGCATCCATGCCAGCCAATCACAGACAATAGACAGGTGTTCTGTGGTGTATAGGAACAAGCATCCATGCCAGCCAATCACAGACAATAGGCAGGTGTTCTGTGGTGTATAGGGACGAGCATCCATGCCAGCCAATCACAGACAATAGGCAGGTGTTGTGTGGTGTATAGGGACGAGCATCCATGCCAGCCAATCACAGACATTAGGCAGGTGTTCTGTGGTGGATAGGGACAAGCATCCATGCCAGCCTCTCACAGACAATAGACAGGTGTTCTGATGTGTATAGAGACAAGCATCCATGCCAGCCACTCACAGACAATAGACAGGTGTTCTGTGGTGTATAGAGACAAGCATCCATGCCAGCCTCTCACGGACAATAGACAGGTGTTCTGTGGTGTATAGGAACAAGCATCCATGCCAGCCAATCACAGACAATAGGCAGGTGTTCTGTGGTGTATAGGGACGAGCATCCATGCCAGCCACTCACAGACAATAGGCAGGTGTTCTGTGGTGGATAGGGACAAGCATCCATGCCAGCCTCTCACAGACAATAGGCAGGTGTTCTGATGTGTATAGAGACAAGCATCCACGCCAGCCTTTCACGGACAATAGACAGGTGTTCTGTGGTGTATAGGGACAAGCATCCATGCCAGCCTTTCACGGACAATAGACAGGTGTTCTGTGGTGTATAGGGACAAGCATCCATGCCAGCTAATCACAGACAATAGGCAGGTGTTCTGTGGTGTAGAGGGACAAACAACCATGTCAGCCTCTCACAGACATTGGACAACATTTTTGAGGTGTACTGAGACAACTTCAACAAGTATCCATCACAGCTAGTGTTTGAAACACAACCTATCAAACCCTTACCTTTGATGCTAGTCCATTCTTGTATTAAGGACATGTAACTAATCCCTGCCTGAACAATTCCACACATTGCTTCATCTTTTATCTGTCACTCATAGTGATTTACAATATCAATGAGAGACAAATCCAGTCTGACTTTCCACTGCAACATCACTCCTCCACTGATCAGGAAGCTGTAGATAGTAGATAAGTCTGCCAAGAGAGAGGGGGAAGGGGAGAGGGGGAGAAAGGGGGTGGTGAAGGAGAGAAAGACTGTGGACACAGACAGATTTGTTGTAGACAGGATGGGAGATGTACTTATGAGAGGATTACTGTATACAGCTGTGTAACAGGTCACCTGATGCATGGGATAGATACAACATCTCACACATTACACTGCTAAGCAGTGTTGTTTGACAGTAAAATATACTGCATCAGAAAATAACTGTTCCATGTTCCTTGTTCATGCTATACATATTCTGAGCAAGACATCACTGGTTGTCCCCATCATACAGTTGATGCTATATTGAAACTCCTCCCTACATCACACTGATGGCTCTTGGGGGGACCAATACATCACTGGTTGTCCCCATCATACAGTTGATGCTTCACTGAAACTCCTCCCTACATCACACTGACTGCCCTTTGGGGGACCAATACATCACTGGTTGTCCCCATCATACAGTTGATGCTACACTGAAACTCCTCCATACATCACACTGACTGCCCTTTGGGGCACCAATACATCACTGGTTGCCCCCATCATACAGTTGATGCTACACTGAAACTCCTCCCTACATCACACCGACTGCTCTTTGGGGGACCAATACATCATGGGGTGCCCCCATCATACAGTTGATGCTACACTGAAACTCCTCCCTACATCACACTGATTGCCCTTTTGGGCACCAATACATCATGGGGTGTCCCCGTCATACAGTTGATGCTACACTGAAACTCCTCCCTACATCACACTGATTGCCCTTTACAGCACCAATACATCACGGGGTGTCCCCATCATACAGTTGATGCTACACTGAAACTCCTCCGTACATCACACTGACTTCCCTTTGGGGCACCAATACATCATGGGGTGCCCCCATCATACAGTTGATGCTACACTGAAACTCCTCAATACATCATAGGGTGTCCCCATCCTACAGTTGATGCTACACTGAAACTCCTCAATACATCATAGGGTGTCCCAATCATACAGTTGATGCTACACTGAAACTCCTCCCTACATCACACTGACTGCCCTTTGGGGCACCAATACATCATGGGGTGTCCCCATCATACAGTTGATGCTACACTGAAACTCCTCCCTACATCACACTGACTGCCCTTTGGGGCACCAATACATCATGGGGTGTCCCCATCATACAGTTGATGCTACACTGAAACTCATCCCTACATCACACTGACTGCCCATTGGGGCACCAATACATCATGGGGTGTCCCCATCATACAGTTGATGCTACAATGAAACTCCTCCCTACATCACACTGACTGCGTCTGGTACACCAGCTTGTTCTAAATACCCAAATCAATAGGCACTCAACGTTACTCTGGGAATCTCATTGAGCCCTGAAGCGAATGAGGGGGAGCAGTGACACACCTGTCTGGATAATGCAAACTGAGACTTTATCTACACACCTGGTGACAGGTATATGTCGTTCACAGCGACACATGTACTCGACCAATACGAGGTGGAGGGGACAGGTCAACAAAATCTTCAAGCCATGAACATTCTTCTAATTATGTGCCTGGTCTTTATTAGAAATTATCAAAGCTAAATCAGGGTCAGACACAGCAACACAGTCTGTTATTCCAACAATAGTGAAAATCTAGCAAGACACATAATTTTCTTGCAATATCTGACATGTTACCCAAACCAAAACTCCAAATTGAGCATCATGTCTGTACCATTAACACATTGAAAGTTGTGACGAAAAGTTATTTTTGAAAGCCATGACATAAACATAGACATGAGCAGTACAAAAGTCAAAACTATCTGAGTTTATATCTTGGAACTATTTTAGAAATCTATACAATTAGCATGATGAATGAACAACATCATGAATGAGTGAGTAAGTATGGTTTTATGCCAATTTTAGCAATATTCCAGCGATGGACACCAGAAATGGGCTTCACACATAGTACCCTTGTGGGGAATCGAACCTTGGTCGTGACGAGCGAACGCTTTAACCACTAGGCTACCCCTACATGATGAATGATGAATATCATGAACATAATAATAATGATAAATATAATGAGTTCCCTGAAAAATAATTAAAACTGTCAGCTAGTTACTGGCAGCAGTATACAGTCAAAGACGTATCTTTTACATGACATTAGCCCCAAGGTCAGTCTGCCACAGTGACATCAAGCCTCATGTATGGATTACTATTCTGACTGGTTTGAGTCAACGACTACCTGTATTTACAGGTCAACTGTCCTAAGGTGGGGTGAAATCAGGTTTAATGTCCAATTTAAGATTATTTGTATTAACATGGCATGTAACATCCAGATTGGATTACTGTAATAGCCTTCTATACGGACTCACCAACGGACATCTCAATAAACTACAAAAAAGTCCAAAATACAGCAGCACGTATTATATCCCTTACCACTAAACGAGACCATATCACCCCTGTACTCTCATCATTACACTGGCTGCCAATCAAGTTCCGGATTGACTTCAAACTTCTTTGCATTGTGTATAAATGTTTGCATAATCAAGCTCCTTCATATCTCTCTGAACTTCTCACTGTGTACTCCCCTACCAGAACTCTCAGATCTCAAGACCAATGTCTTCTCTCCATTCCCAAAGTTCTCCTTTCTTCCTTTGGCAAGAGGTCTTTCCAGTACGCTGGTCCTACTCTGTAGAATTCTCTCCCTCTCCACATAAAGCAGTCTCCCACATTGGGAACTTTCAAAATTAAGTTGAAGACTATTTCTTTTTTCCAAAGCCAATTTCTGTCATCAATTTCAATGTATCGTATTTTACTATTTTATCCTCTGTATGCATTGTATGTATGCTTTTATGTAGCGCCTTGAGCATGTATCAGTGGGTGGAAAATGGCGCGCTAAAAATATCCATTATTATTATTATTATTATTATGATGTATGTGTGTGGGCTTGTACTAGTCTGAACAAGTGCCAGTTATACATAGCAAAGACACCATTCCGCAGTTTAACCAAATTACTAATCCTGTTATTCGGTGAATCGAACGGCATCCTTTCATGAATTCAATTCATTATTCATGGTCACTAGATTCAAATATTTTTAAGAGAGTGTTTTTACTTGGTACTAGTTTGTTTATCTAGGTGGGATACACATACTGGAATGTGTCCAATAGGCCAGTAGAAATCAACATCACAATAATATAACGTAGACATTTGTGATAACAAGCCAGTTATTGTTCACAGGTGTCTATTTATCATGTACACAAAACCCAAGAAAAATCAAGAATGGGGAAATATGTTTCTGAGGGTGTCCAAAAAATGGACCAAAGCTTTGTTTTCATCAAACTACATAAAAGCAGCTGTAAGAAGATTTCTAAGATGCCTAGCGGTTAGAACAATCTAAAAAAAAATACATTATCAGACAATAAAGGTATAGTTTTTTGATGACGTAACAATTGAATGACGTTATCCCGTCACTGTGCCATTCTAGTGTGCCCCCTCGTAATCGAACCATTTTACATTACGTCACAATGTAAGCGACATCACGATGGTTGTCAGTTGTCATCGCCTCGTACGGCCTCCTACAGTAAACTACTCCGTTGCATCCCGTTTCTTGGTTTGCAGTTGCTTCACGCAGCTAACATCACTGGTGGAAACATTATGTTTATGTTTTACGACGGTTAAAATGTGTCAATTCGACTCACAAGTTTTCAGCGACACGGTAACGTTCGCAATGTTTACATTCCCACAATGCAATCATGGAATGTTGCTTGACTACTCAGCTTCATCTGGATGTACTGATCTAAATTTACGTTGGTAGTAGAAATGCGACGTTCATATTGCCCCCATATGGTTTACGTTAATGACAGATGTAATTAAAATAATTCAGAGAAGATATTTAATCCGAACGTAAACCGTCATCAAACTGTTATCATTTGGTTTTTTCTGGTAATGTTCGTGTTAACGTAGGGGGGCAGACACATCAATAGAACAGCGAGCCAGTTAGCCCTGTGCGAGGATTCTTAATTTAGGTCACCGACACCGTCGTTTGTTTTCTGCCTTAAATTAATCGTAATTATCCTTAGAAAGTATTAAATTTGGCATCTTAGAAAAGAAATACAGTTCGCTCTACCACCATGTATGGTATAATAAAGCACACTTTCGCCCTGAACTATTATAACGTTAAAGCCCTCGGACGCAAGTGTCCTCGTACTTTAACTATAATAGTTCAGGGTGAAAGTGTGTTTTATTACACTATACATGGTGGTAGAGCGAACTGTATTTCTTAAAGCAAAGTTGTTATGTAAACAAACAAGTGTAACTTGTGTTATTTCGCCAAGGCCCCTGACAGCACTGTCCTTTGGCGGCATTGTTCACAACGTATTGCTTTTTTTTCCGTGTATAAAAAACATCAATTAAATGTTTCAACTTGTTATTACATGACTTGTTTGTTATTTTAATTTCATGATATTAATCATAGAGTGTTTATGAATAAATATTTGTAATTCTTACTATATATTCGCAAAGCATACCTATCCACCTCATAGTGTATTTCGCTGCAGCTATGGTCATCCCACTCAGAAACAGTACTTTGACTCTCTGACAACCAATCTTATTGGCACAATGTCACTCATTTTCGACAATATTTTGGTCTATATTACATATATTGGGACATATGCACTCACTTTAAATTCCTATTGATGCAATAAAAGATGTATTATACATTACGACTTGCCTGAAAATAGTGTAATTGATAATTGAAACTTCAAGGCAAACAGCTTCCAAACAGAGAACACTTGCCATATATGGAACATAAATAATATTGCCCCGCACATCGAGCACACTGTGTTGTCGGTGTTTACTGAACTGGTTTCAATCACAAGTTGTGCATAGGATATTCATAAAGAGCGCTCCAAGGGACATAACTCTATGGGG